TAGCTATCATTATACAGGTACATAAACATATACATTACCGTGCACGAATAATTGAACATTTAGCGTAATCGCAATAAAAGCCTAGTATTTTTGTTACAGTTCCGACAGTTACGATTGACGAACGTTTTTCTACTGTTAATTTTCTGCATTTTCAATTTCATTTTTAATAAATAGCTTCGTAAAATCTGTGCAAACCATTTCAACGTGGTAAAACTCGCATACGCGTGTATTTCAATCCCCCTGAAATTGCAACAATGAACAAACATATTCAGTGTCGCTCTACAGAGTGTCTTCGACTGTTTTTTGATTATATTTTTATCAGTATCCTTTCACTGTATACGTATCAAGATTAAATTGAAGAGAGATCCATTTGAATCTTATATATTTTATATTCCAACGATTCAAACATGTCCAAACAAATTACACAGTATATAATGTAACTTCTACAATCCGCTTAACCCCTTGGCGCTGGCAACTGGTTGTTCGCGGACCATAACGAGCGACCGAATCGTCATACAATTTTTCTTTTTCTTTAGAAATTCTGAAGAAGTAATAAACTTGTCATTTGTCTTGCCTCGGTTACATTTAAATGTACTTAAAGCTGAGAAAACGTTGCAATTTGGGAGAAAAAATTCTCGACGTGCGTGGGGCACGTCATTCCAGCGCAAGGCTGTTGTATCGTTGTTGTTTTCCCATTCAACTCGATACCACATCACCAACTCTCTCGACTACGTAATTTCACGACACGAAGAAGATGTCGGTGAATTGTTTGCGGCTGTGTCCGATTGAAAAAAAAGATGCAGAGTGCGTCGGCCCTACCTGTTGACCCAGGCACGGCCGCCACAAGCGAATTTCGCGAGTCTGCGTGCGCTTTTTCCATCCAGGAGGAAATCAGGTCACGCGCTTTTCATACAAGTATTTCGCCAGTTAACGGCAGTATTTCGTTTTATTCTCTCTTCCTCTCTCTCTCTCTCTCTTTTTTTTCATTTCGCGGCAGCCGCTCGATTGAGGTGTGTCGCATTCTGACGCATGAAAATGGCCCAAAGGGATGCGCCAGCCATGATCGATGCTCCATCCGATCGGAGACTACCGAAACTGCCCGTCAAATAATATATTCATAGCTTCCGGATGGTTGAACGCGACTCTCGAAATCCTCTGCCGCCTCCCACCCCCGTCGCAACCCGCGCCCCTACGCCCGTTGCCACCCCTCTGCAACCACCCTCCATTCCGCGTATCACCCTGCGCCTGCATCCGTACGCAAATCGACTGTCGAATAATTATCGAAAATACACGGCTGAACAGCTTACCTCTCTCTCTCTCTCTCCGTCTATTTTTTTCTGTCGTTCTCTCTTTTTTCCTCGATTTTTTTCTCTATCGTTGGTACCGTTCTCTCGACCAACTAATACAGATTAAAACGAGTATTCGACCGGTGGACGTAGACAGTTGACGGTTTATCGAAATAAAAGAAAGAAGGTTTGCTTATTGCTACGTCGAAAGGTGTAATTCTGAAAAATGAAAACTGAAACTTGTCCCTTTGTGCCTTTTACATTTCTTCTGTTTCCTTTCGTTTTTCTTTTCCTCCCGCGTGCGTCTCTCTTCCTCTACTTTCCACGAAGTAGGATATAGTGTTATTATAGGGGACCGTGTCCCTCTGGCCCAATAAACTCAGTAATATGAGGGACGCAGTACCGTTAGGCCCATAACTGCAAGAATTACTTTATGGGACCGACCTTTGTATATTTTCGCTTACCTTCGCCAGTCACGTGTTCGAAAAGGACACGAAGAGAGTCGACTTTATTATATAAGGGTGCGAAACTAAAGTGGTACACAACCCTAGGTGAAAATGTAGCAAAGATAGTTACTCTGAACCGATCGTATTCCTGCACCATTTTACGAACACGGCTGAGACACGGTCCACCATGATCATCCTCACCGTGGATTTCCAAAATTACGTATAAAGAATAAATAAGAAATAAAATATAGAATATAATATTATTCTCTAACAATATAGAATATATATATATATTTAATATAATAATAAATAAGAATAAAATATTATTGTGTACTGTTATTATTATTATTACGTACAGGATGTCCGATTTTAATCTTTCCGCGCAAAAATGTTTGAAATTTCTTTTTACTTCGATGGGGACATCTTGCGACGAGCATTAGATTTCTGTAGACATTTTTAAGTGGAATTGGATATTGTTTTTTTCCTTTTATGTTTCAAAGTTCGACGTTCTGTAAAAAGATATTAACCCACCCATGTCGAAAAATTATTAATTTGGGAGATATCTTAATTGTAATTTTGTAAAACATATTGCAAACATGAAACACAAGAATATTGTTTCTGCACACAATACATAATAATTAATATACATTATTATTAAGTTACGAAGTATGCTTGTTGTATATTTAATCTCTAGTGCTTAACACTGAAACTCCCGAGACATAAAAGTTTCCATCAGAGATATTAGATTGAGAAAAGAGAAAAGCTTCGCAATGCAATAAATTGCACAAGCTTTTATTTATATAATGTACGAAGGATCGTTTGAATCTCTAGAAACTGTGTTACATCTATAAAATTTCCAAGAGAAATTGCAAATTGGTCATTCTGATCACTTTAGTAATTCTGGTGCTTAAATCTTTTAACGCTAAACCCCTAAATTCTATTAGATACGAGATATCTATTAAATTTTTGATGACGTAAAATTTCAAGTCATATCTCTTTTGAACTTTCTTCATTAATTGGCGAATCTGGCTATTTATAACGAATAATCTTTTTTTAAACAACATTTCGACTCTTCAACGTTTCTAGTTTTTGTATTTATTTATATCATCTTTATACTGAATTCTTTGGAATTCATCAAAATCACCGCTGCATCAACATATGTTCACTTGATTCTGACATAGCGCTGCAGATTGTGAAAAACTCGACTGAAACGAAACAGTTGGTCATTATAAATACGATGTATAAATTTATTATACGTTAATAAGTAATTTGCAAACTAAGTTAATGATTTACAGAAACAAAAGGAACTTTAAACTCTGTTAACCAACTAATGAATAGAAAGGTTGAAAAAGAAAATCTTCTCGCAATATCTAAAGCTTGTTAATCACGGTTAATAGTTATTATAAAAAAATTCGAGTTAATAATAATAATAAGAGCAACGTGAATATAAAAATTGAAAAGTAACGATCAAAAGGCAAATATCGACGAGGATAGAATTTATTTGATTACGTCCAAATGACGAGGTGATTATCGTTGTTACTTCCATCCTTTATTTCAGTTCTGAAATGAGACGATAATTTTCGGCGAATTCCCCGATAATTTTTAAATTTTAATATTTAAGTACCTTTAACCGTGATTTAATTTACAATTAAAGCCGACCCGGCGAATTACAAGTAACGACGAAATTGTAGTACAACCAGTTTCAAAGGATTTTATATTTTAATACTGATGCGATTATCGCAAACAAAATGTTATCCTCTAGGGGTGAGAAGAAGAGAAAAAGAGGGAGGGCGAAGGGGGGAGAGGGGGAGGTTCAGATAACGAGCAGTTTGGATTACAGTGCGAGCGAGATTGGAATAAAGTGTCGACGAGATACGTAACAGAGCAAAAAATGAAAATTCATTAGAAGTTGAAGGGGCAAGTTGGTTATTTACGCAGTCAATGGCGGTAGATATCTTCCGAACGACTTTTTAAATCTTTAATTAACTTCGTCCTGACATTCAATTATCCTTTTAAATGGCATTACGTTTAAACTAGCGAGCACGTTCCAAGGGGCTTTCAAATCATCCGCGGAAGTAATCTGGAAAGTTATGGAGAAACATGGAAACTTAATCGCTAAGTTTCTACCGAATGTTTCTAGCACGTGAATCCCGGGTGAAAAACGAACAGTCCGGGCATACCGGCTCGAAAGTATCCTGTTGGAAGAATTTGAAATTGTCTTCCACGTCGAAATTCCAGTGATTTCTCTGAGAAATTATCGATAGAGTGGGTAGAGTAGTTTCTAGCAAACGACAGTGAAAGAAAAAACGATGTGATACTTGAAAATATTCCATCGAAAGAAATCAAAGAATTATCTGTCGGGTGAAAATTGTTAATAATTTTCTGAGAGAAAAACTGAAAATTACGTAAAAGAGTAAATCGCTTATTTACAAAAAAAAAACAAGAGGGGAAATATTCTATTTGAAAAAATTTGAAATTGTTCTTCACGCCATAATTTTTGCCATTTTACGATTCATCGATTGGAAGTAATGAAAAATTAATAAAAAGAAATGAATCGTAACGTGGGAAAAATATTCTATCGATAAAATCCAAACTTAGTTTTGATATCAAAGATACTTCAACAACTTTTCTGAGAATTCAAAGACTGCACGTATCAAAAAGGTGGATGTTACAGTTTTGGAAGATGTTATTTAAAAATTTAAAAATTTCAAATTATTCTTTTGAAAATGCATGAAATTTATATTTTGTTCAACAGGGATTAAATCGGATAATCTTAAATTAAACTTGATCACAAAATAATTGATAACAGATGGTAATGATTATTACCAAAACTAGATGTGTGTTTTTCATTTCGAAGTATAATCTAAAAACGTTTACACAAGAGATACTGAGGTAAAATTTTCACAGTGACGAATTCGATCAAAAATATATTAGAGGTAAAATTTATTGGAAAATTATTAATCGCAATATTAATGCACGTCAATCAGTAGATTCAACATTTGTTTATTAAACGACTATGTATATATATATATATATATATATATATATATATATATATATATATATATAAATATTTAAATAATATTTCTATATAAATTGTATTTGACATTGATATTTTCAATGGCGGCATATTTTAGTAATTTATTCGTGATGATATTGTTAAATATCTTTTAAACGTTGTACAATCAATTTTTATCATAAACAACTACAAATAATAAAATAACAAGTGGCTCTTTGTTTTATTTATTAAAATTTGTTACTAAAATTTCGTAACAAGCTGTCAACGAAAGGATTTCATCACTGAAAAAATAAATATTTCATCTTCATCAAAAATTATCAATATTCCAGCTGCTGAAAGTAAAGCGATAAAATTCAGTCATACGTTTCTTTCAATCGTTTGAATTTTTCAAGAAATCGAACATGATGTAAAATCATCTTCAAAAGGACTTCACTTTGTGCTTCACGCTTCAAAACGAGATCAAGTGGATCGTTATGTGATACTTTTTTTTGTATCAGTTCAAATTATCGACAATTTTTCGTTGTCGACGGTGCAAATTGCGCTCTTCAATGTGCTTCTGCAGTGTAAATTTTTTGCTTTCTTCAGATAACAAATGTAGAGGCAGAAGCGTACGTCTGAAGGTTTAACCACTTGCGCTGGCAACTGATTGCGGACCATAACGAGTGCTCAAACCTTTTTCCTTCTTAACACATCACTGGATAGAAATTATTCAAAGGTAATAAATTTATCATTTGTTTTGCCTATTTGTGTTTTACTTAAAATATACTTGAAAACCGAGAAAATATTAAAATATTAAATTTTGGAACAAAAAGTTCTCTCCAATAATCTAGAAGTCCAGGAATTTGGCCCATCTCAACCTTTGATTTTTTTTTTATTTCCCCACTTGTGAAACACACTTGCGTTCAAGTTTGAACACCGAGATTCGAGAGACATCCTGTATAATACTGGCTGTTGAGCGAGTTGATGTGACAGACAGGCTGGTTTTTGTCGTACAGACGAAATGCATTCCCTAGGCGGCATACCGGTTCATCTAGATATCGCAATAGGTGGTCCTGTTCGTTGTAATCGGGTAGAAAACTCAATCGCGATCTGACTTTCGCATCGGTAGTTCCACTCATTGTTATTGATTCGATTTTGAATAGGTGGTTACGGATAAAGAGAAAAGATTTGATTTTTCGGTGTACCACAGGGAAACGGTTCGGTTGGTCCTTTTTACAGCCGTTTTTTTTTTTTTTTTTAAATATTATAATCAATCTTCTTATTTTAACCTGCCAAAATATATCACTAGTTGTAAATATAATACATCTTGATCGATTCATATCAACCTATCTGTATTATACTTTTATCTCTGTCAGAAATTATTTCACCAGTATTGAATGTCACAATTATATAAACGAGATCAACGATAGAGTTATTCGTAAATTTATTTATTTTTGTTTCCTTTGTAAATTTGTTTGATTCTAGCGTACGTAAATGAAGCTTGATTTTTAAAATACTTCGTAACATGATAAATCAGAGAACATTCTTAGTGTTAGTTTATTTGTACGAATATTTATAGAATACTCGCGTAATTTCAAGAATTCGTTCAATATTTTTCCATGATTTTATAATTTACGAATATGAAATTATTTCCATGAAACTGTATTTTTGGTAATTTTACGAAATTTCAAGAGACTGAAGTATATTCATAATGTTGTGATAAATTATTGCTCGGTAAACGAGTTATCGAAGGATTAACAATGCAATGGCACATATTCTTGTTTTTTTAATTATTCCATTTCCGCATTTTATTTTCGCGAGTAAGTATGAAAGTATTACACTAAATGATACGAAATTTAATTTACATAGACATAATTATTACACTGTAAATGCTGTAATAAATACAATAGTGTACAAATCCTTCTTGCAGTCATTGTGTAGGTATTGTTATCAGCGAAACATATGAATTATAAATAATAATTACTATAACTATTCTCTCGTTAAATCAACAGATATGTTGAAATGCAATGAATATTAACCTCGTAGTTGTTGTGTAAGTTTAATTGTTTCTTGGTGTTTAAAAGTTACGATCAGGCCGCTGATTTTTACGATATTTTATTTTCAAAGTTTTTTAAACATAGCTAAAATACGTACGAAAATAGTGCTAAAATATCCGTCTCTAAATTTTCCCAATTTAATTTATCCCTTGACGTCAGATTAACGCAGAGGCAAAAAAAAAAAAAAAAGAAAATTAACGCAACAAAGAAACAAATAACAAGTCAATACATTTAATAACAAATTGGTGACATTTGCAAGTTCTTTCATTGACCAGATGAACAGACTAAATTTCTATTCGTGTTGCGTATAACCAACTTTCAAGTGTAGATGTTCGATTTTACGCATTTGAAGAAAATTCTCGTCGATTTGTGAAAACTGGCACAAAAGACAGACAAGAAGGTTAAACTTAATGTAACACCTTTCTTCCACCTGAAAAGTTTGATATTCGACACTTGCGTACTTTCCACAAAAATATATTCGCGTCAATTGTACATGAGTTGCGTGTTTTTTGCAGACGAGTTCGAGGATAAGAGTCGGAAGAGAGGAAAGCCTGCTCGTGCAGCAGGCTGCCGGTTCTTTTGCAAATTAATCGAAGGACTCTTCGTGTGACCCTGCTTTTCTGGGGCACGTGCCCATGGGTATCGGTATTTCGGGGTACGTTAATACCTCACTATCCAGACGGATAGAGAGAGAACAGAGCGAAACATCCACTCCTGTACATTGTTTGCGGCTTGGAATCAATAAAAGCATAGCTTTAGGCGACGGTGGTCACCATGGCAACCAGAGACCCATCCGTGTACCCTGCTTCTCTCTCTCCCTCTCTCTCTCTCTCTCTCTCTTTCTCTCTGCCTTCAACTTCTCTCTCCTCTCCTCTCTCACTCTCTCTATTTTACACACACGCACACGTATACGCACCCTCTCACCCTCGTGTTCTTCTCACAATTTCTCTCTCTCTCTCTCTCTCTCTCTCTCTCGCTGCTTCTCTCCCTTCGAACGTGTATAACATATCTACCATCTTCTTCGTCCTCTTTCTCTGTCTCGGAGAACGTTCGCCTCTCTCCATTTTTCCCACCGGTTTCGTACTCTCGAATCTCTCTGTTTCCATTATTTCCTCGTCTTTTTAACTTTGATCCTCGCGCAAGTAATATCCAGCTTTCTGTTCCCCCCCACCCCCCTTCTGTCTAAGTTCGTCCTTTTTCACTGTTCCTCCGAATTTTTTCTCTGACCTCCGCTTTTGTATCTCAATTCTAGCTATCTGTCTCTTCCTTTTTTCGTTTTCTCAACTTCAATCCTCCCATCCTCGTTCGTTTTCATAATTTCTCAATCGTTCTTCTTCGTCCTCTTCTCTAGACTCACTTCCTTTCTTTTTCTCTCCACTTTCCGATTATTTTTGCAGCTTTTTAACCTCGAACTGTTGCACGAGTAACACCCAGTTCTCTATTTCTTAGATCATTCTTTCCCCGTTTTCTCCACTTTTGTATCCTGAGTTTCTCCCTCTTTTTCTGTTATTTTTTTCTTTCAAACTTTGCACACTAACTTTGTCAATCTCTGTCTTTTCTCTCTCTTTCTCTTTTGATTATTTTTTTCTTTTCTTTTTGTAAATTGTAAATTTTCTTTCACAGGTAACATTCAATTCTTCATTTTTCTCGCTATACCTACTTTCGCGTATTTTTCTCTTCTCTCTATCTTCGCTCCTCTATTCTCCATTTCGTTCCTCCTCACGTTTTTCATCCCCCTTTTTTCGCTTATTTTAGGTAGGACTAACCTCTGTTATCTTTCTATCTCTCTTTCTCTCTGTTTTCGCACGCTACATCTTCCCTTTCCACCATTTTCTCCTCCCTTTTACTCGGTCACCCTCTGCCTATTTCATCTCCGTTTCTGTCAAACGCCGTACTTTCGCTATATCTCGCTGTACATCTCTCTGTTTCATTCGTCTTCGCATTTTTCATCACCCTTCTTCCTCTGCCCACGCATGCCCCCAACGAACGCACGAACCTTTGTTTTCTGAAACTCTCGTTCAACTCAACGCACGTACATACATTATACATGTACATATATACATTACAGCTAGTTTTTTTTCTTTTTTTTTTTTTTTTTTTTTTTTTTGTTGTCAATTGTCTCTTTGTACTTGAAACTCTTTTAAGCACGTTTCTCTTTCGTATCGATCCTTTGACCTTTCGATAATTGCCTTCGAAATTGACTTGGCGTTCACCTTCCTATCGCTGCGCTCGAGTTCAAGTTTTTTTTTTTTTTTTTTTTTTTTTTTTTAAATGCAGCGGGTCATGGAAGTATTTTGAAAAGAAAGGAATATTTTGAAATTTCACTACAATGTTAACGCTATAACGAGCTGCGATTTTATTTGAAGCATGTGTGTCGTATATGAAATGAAAAAAATTTTCGTTTCACTCGAATGAAGTGATTTAAACCGATTAGGTTTCGTGATTCACCCTGCATACACATTTACAAAATCATTTGGTATGTATGAAGAATACTTCGAAGAATTGAATTTGACAGTAGTCTAATGATTTTGTATTTTCTGATAGACTAAGTGAAAGTTGCAGGATATTTATTAGAAACGTAAAAATGCATCATACTCTGATAACGCCAACGAAATATCAGCACTTTGTTATTTTATTATTGGAAATTTGATAGAATAACAGGATATTTGAAAAAAAGAGCGAATAAGAAAAGTCTATACCTTCATTTTCGGCCAATTTTTTATCTTGATGGACTATTCGGCGTATCTCATAATTTTAGAGGAAAAAAATGAGCCATCATAGTAAACTGCGATGTAATGAAATTTAATATAGCAAAGTGCAGCTAACGCAATGTAAAGTATATACTGACAATGAAATAACTCGAAAATATTTTTCAACATGCATTTTTCTCAAAAAAAAAAAAAATATATATATATATGTCTATATTAAACATATATCGAATATATAAATTTAAATCAAAAGTTTAAATTGCAAGATAATTTATTAAAATACGTGGTTTACACCTTTATTATAAATTATGGTTAAAAAGAAATTTCAAAGATTTATTTAAATATTATTTTTGTCATTTCTCCTGTCTAAATTCATTTACTATCCAGTCATTGATAAAAATTAAAAGAATTCAAATATTTATACTATAATAAATTACTGTAATAAATTATTTTTATTGTAAAATTTTGTTGTGTGCTTCTGATTTATACGTAGAATTGTTTTACTATTCTATACACCAGAAATTATTTTATTCAATAATATTACATTTTGGACTTTACGATTTGGTGGTGATATAAAGTATATAATATATAACAATTATAATGAACTATGTAGTAAAATACTATTGCTCTGTCTTTTAATAATTTAAATTTATGATCTTGAATTTATTCCAGAAAAAGCTAGTTCTAATTGGAATTTGTATATTGGTTATATTATATAACATGAAATATTATATATACATAACATGAAATATTATATTATTATTATTATACTATATTAAATATAAATATAATCCTAGTAAATTTTGTCATTATATTATTATTGTATTATTACAATGTATTACTGTATCGTTAATTTCTATAATTATACATTATTTATGGTATCATATTACATTGTAATTTGCAATTTGGTTAAATTCAAATATGATTATCAAATACAAATCAACCAAAGTATTCGAAAAGTAATGCCCTTTTCGATTTTCAATCCCTTAAGCACTCACTGAATTTTTAAAAATCTTCCTTACTTTGTTACTCTTACTTTGTTTTCTTATTATACTACAACCAGCTTTATTATTTGCTTTATTATTCTACGAATGTTCATCAGTTCCATAGAAACACTATTTTCCAAAAGAATGTAAAATTTTACAGCGTTAACGAGTACAATGTTACGAAGGTAGACCTTAAGGGATTAATCTTAGTTTCGAAAGATATTGTAATTTACTATAATTATATTTATATAGTTTACTATAATTATATTTATAAAATAGTATTAAAATAGTATTAAAATAGTAATAGTAATAATATTTATAAAATATAATTATATAAATATTTATATTATATTTATGTAATTATATTTATAAAATTTACTATAATTATATAGTTTAATAGTTTATATTTATATAGTATAATATTACTATAGTAGTATTTATTACAATCATAATTATAATTATATTTATATTTATATAGTATAATATTATATAGTATAAAATTTACTACAATTACATTTAATATAGTATAGTAATATAATATTGTTAATAGTTTATATTTATATAGTATATATAATATAGTTTAATAGTTTATATTTATATAGTATAATATTACTATAGTAGTATTTATTACAATCATAATTATAATTATATTTATATTTATATAGTATAATATTATATAGTATAAAATTTACTACAATTACATTTAATATAGTATAGTAATATAATATAACCGATATACAAATTCCAGAAATAGTATCGTTTCCGAGATGCAAAATTCGAAAGCAAATTATCCCGCTTCGCGAAGGTACGACGGGCGAGCAACTCCTCGAATACGCAAACTCCGTCGAAGAACGTCGATAAATGTCACGCGTTTTGCGGAAGTGAGAGCCCAGTTGAAAACAACTGTCGAAAAGATCGACCAATTAAAAAAAAATATATATATATATACACACACATACACACATATATATATATATATATATATCGAACGGAAGTTCGACCTTCGTTCATAGAACAATAACCGGGAGATCGTCCAGAAGATCCAGGTAAAGAAGAACAGCACGTTCTGCTTATTAATTTAACTAGACGTATTAAATTCGTACGATTCAAGTTGAACAGGGAGTTTCATTCGGTCTCGTCTCGAGTTAAGGTTAGGTTAGGATAACCTAATCCGAGGCGAAATAGAGGGTTGGTTGCAACTTCCTCGATTCGAGATTGTCGTTTCGATAGTCACGGATGCCGGGGATCGAGAGACGGAGAGCGGGTTGTTCGAAAGAGTATACTACAAATCCTGAAAAGTGTCGGGACATTTGCACATTCTTGAAAACAATTTTATTAAAAGCAGTTGTTTCATTTACAATTTCGTTTCTGTCCTTGTCTATCGTTGCATCGTTGTTGTATCTTTGCTTTTACACGAGGAACAAAGTTATTCGATATCGCGACTCAACGAGATCATCTTTCGATTTATTTCGAGATTCGTAGATTGTCGATACTTTTCACAGTGAGAGTATACATTTTTTGAATGTAGATATAATTTTGTTCAACAACTATCTGTGAGAAAAACGTGAAAAGGAGGACATTGCTTCGTGTCTTTTCTCGTCTCTCGTGTGAAAATTGAACTTGAAACATGTCTTCAAACTAATAATTTTTAAACAGGACTGTCTTGATATTATCGCTGCAATGATTTCTAACAATTAATTATTATTTTATTATTATTTTTTCTAATCTACGTCCGTACCTCAGTCTGACGATTAATAGTTAATATCCGATACAGCTGACATTCTCAATAGCGTACACGTTACATGTGTCGAATATAATGACACGGTATATTTGAATAAATATTACGCGCATACTCTCGATCCAGATTCTCGATCCGAGCGATATTCTGCGGGAAAAATCTACGAGCGGTCACAGGTCCCCTGTAAGGCGACACAGGTACATATGGGCTCTTTCAGTGAATGGGCCAAATGATATAAATTATTTATAGATTTCGACACCAAAGCGCGGGGAGGGAATCAAGGGTGTTCTGTTCCAACTGGGGTGTATACTCCTGGGGGGGTCCACTTGCATCAAAAGCCCCTTGAGGCCCCCTCAACATATGCATTTTCACTCGACCACCGTAAGCTTATATAAAATTGATTCCTAAGTACCCTGGATTCCTGTCAATCTCGCTTGTCTTTTAACACCTATCTCGCGTATTTGTTTGTTCTCCACGCAAATCTTCGAATGTTCAATTCGAGCGCAAACATGACTGGAACGCGGCACTTTTGTTTGCTCGTCTCTTCCTGTTGGCACTTGTTCAAAAACGACCGACGGTATACTTGGCTGTCCCATCTTTTAGATCGTAGAAATTTTCAATTAATTTCATCCTCGTCGAAATTTTTACGTGTTTATAATATTGGTTGACTGGGGGTAATGATGTATACTCTCGTTAAAAACCTTGGAGCACATCAGGAAACTAAAACTATTGACAATTAAAATATTAGTTAGAGAAATTAGTATGCGAGGAATAGGAAAAAAGATTATAATTTTGTTCATTATAAAAGATTATAATATTGTTCGTTACGAATACGGTTGTAAATTTGTCAAATTTCTCTGGAATGTTATGAATTAATCATTTTAATCACTTTAGCGGTTCTAATGTTAACCAAATGAATATTCTACTTACGATACTTCAACACTACTTTAAAATATCGGAACTGTTGAATTAAAATTGAAACTTGTTTAGATATGAAACACAACTGGTTCTTGGTCGATTGTTATATTAATTTAACAAAGCTACCTTCATTTTAAATTAATTTTTTCTAGTCATTCTAGAGTTTTACTTATTATTTTTAATAATACACACGAATGTGGACACTTGTCTTGATAAATTGATTTGCTGAAGAAAAAATAACTAAAACATGAATGTACAGATTCTCAGTTGTTTCTTTTTTTTTTTTTTTAAGAAACGACACTAAAAAAAAATTATATGAAAATTATATTTCATATCATTAGACAAGTACATTGTTGCCCATAGTCGAATTTTACTTTATCCGAGTGTCAGAGACTGAATTAGACGGAATGCATATATAGACACTCTCAGTGTACATGTTTCATAGGGGTTTCACCGATCGCAAAGTTCCTGACGAGTGATGTGTAGCAAATTTGAAGACGGGCCCAGAGCATCGTGCGCTGCGCCCCCCGGGGTCCAATCTAAATCAATGGGCTTGTGGGTAATCGCATAATAATTACTAGAACCCCCTCTACCGTCCATCTGTCGCTAGCCAACGGGTGTTCAGCCCCTACAAGTGGCAGTGTGCAATGTCACGGCAACATAGACGATCGGCAAGTCTCAGCAGGTCCTATTGTCGCTGGCCATTGAAAAAAAATATCACGCAGCGTCGGCTGAGTTTCTCAGTTTTCACGCGTTGCTTGAAATTTTTATTGTTTGCGATGATTTCGTCAGGTTTGGCCATCGCGTCGATGAAATACTCGATTTTTTTAAACATTCTCTCCCAACTATGTTAAACCTTAAAAGAATTATTTCTCTGCGAGTAACTTTTTCTATAAGTTACCTTGTTATTTTAAGTATTGAGATGAAAACGATACGTTTGGAAACAAAATTAATAAAGTATTTGAAATGGTTCGTTATTTCAGATAGAACTTGTCCAACACTGTTATAAGTAGGAAAAGAATAGAATTAAATTTTGTCGTGAAATTCAAGATACACAAGTACTAGTGTTAGAGATTTTCATAAGTAGAATTGAACAAAGAGATAAAATAATATTTATAGTTTTCATTTAAGATTAATTATATAATTTATGTGCTATCACAATCATAATTACAATAATATGGCGAAGTTTAATATAGTATAATCTTCATGAAGATTCCAATTTGTCTCAATAAAAGAAATCCCTGCAACGATTACGAGAGAATCATCGTTTTTAAACTGTTTCAGACGAACAAATGATAACTACAATTCTGATCGGTTTATGTGTGGGATTTTCTGATGGTTTACGTGGACCTCATCATCCACGAAGCCCTGTCTCTCACCACCATTACGCCCCGCAGAAAGATGTTAAAATAACACAAGATGCGGAACTACTACAGGATGCTACGTTAGTTAACACTTAACTCATTTACACGAGTATCATAATTTTGTTTAAGTATGTGTTCGTTGTTTCACCTTATTATTTATTTTTTTATTCTAGCGTTAAACTTCCACGCAACTTTGAATTTAATCTCGATGCGCCTTGATCTCGTTAGAAAGTTCGTTTCGACGATCTCTTTTATTTGTTAATTACTTTTTTATATACCTTACTGCTTGCTCTACAATTGATTTATATTCGTAAAATTTTGAATAGTTTGTCTATAAATACTTGTTATAAAATTTAGCAGAAGGGATTTCAAAACCAAATGTGTCCGCGTGGTATAATTAGATTGTACCATTTCATTAAAAATTAAAGTTGTATTTCTATATAATTGTTAAAACTGGCAATGATACACATTATTCATTTTTATTGAGAATATTCCAGAAGTTGTTATACGGAATTTTCTGACTTAGAAGATAGTTGAACAATGTCTAATAATTATTTTTAGAGAATATCTAGGACTCTGAAAATTAATAAAAAAAACATTTTTAAAAATAATGATGCGTTCGAATTTATATTATTTGAATTATTTATATGATTATAGAGATGGAATAGTTGCCAAATAGCCAAGTCTGTCATTGTATGATTATTCAAAGTATTTTTAAAAACTTACATACATTTCAGAAATATTATATCACCTATTATATGACCATTTGTACTTATTGTTAAATATTACATAATTTTTCCTCACGTAGAATTATCATTTCTTCCGTTGTTCTTCGAACCTCGTTTTAATCGTAAATCAAAGAATACATAAAAAAATTTATTTATTCAACACTCCAGTAACAGATACATTATTTTTTGCAGTCAGTTGTTTTCTGAATTTACAGTATTATTTGTCTTATACATGTCTGCACTGCTTTTGTACTTTGGTATTTTAGTTATTAATGGTGCAAAATGTGCAAAAATTCGAAATATAAATATAAAATTTCAGCCACTTGAAAGAAGACATGGGGTCAATGGCAGAGCAATTGGACTTTTCGAATATGACCGAACAGGAAATCGAATTTCATTACTTTAAGTACGTCTGTAATATTAATAAAATATTAATAATTTACAGTGATAAAGTAAATCATTTTTGACATACACATACAATTGCAGATCAGTATAGATATATGCTCGAATATTTTTTTGTGATGTGTATTTTTTTTTTTACATATCTCACCATACGAAGTAATTATGTATGCTTGTACTTGTACATCAAAATTCTTTGTTCTTTAATTTTCACCAATAGTTATGGTTCGACACGTTTTATAAATAATTATAAATATAAAAATGATCGATGTTATCTATGGTAAATTTACAATGGTAATTTTATCAATTCAAAAGATCATAACAGCTGTATTAATCGTAGAATTCATGATATCGACAATAATGCTAAATTGGATGGATTAGAGATTCTTTATGCCATTCAACATACCTTTCACGAGAACAGACTCGCCGAAGCTGAACGTGAAAGTTCGAGTGAAAATATCAGAACTATGGAGTACCAAGATGATTTGCCTTGGATCGTAGGTATGTATAACTACAATTATTATATTTCCAGATTAATATTTCATATAGAAATATCATTAAAAGATACTAAATAAATGATACTGTCATAAAATCAAAATATCACAAAATGTTAAATATTTAACTAATATGAAATTCATATTTTCATTGTATTTTTTAATCAATTGGAATTTCCTTTTGTAGAAATAGAAAATTCGACTTGATGTGTTCTTCTCCTGTAATCTTTGTATATGAACATATTTCTTGGCTGTTTAACACTTTACAATCTGAAACTACATGTGTTTTTCTTTTTTGTTTTTAATAATTGAAATATCCTACTTCATAGAGCAGTCTAGATACATAAAGATACAAAAAACTGAAAATGTAATAATTATTTTTTTTTTATAAAGAACTTGTAGATAGAGTACTGAGGGAAGATGACTTGGATCATGATGGATATCTAGGATATATTGAATATGTACTTGGAAGACAAAGAGATCACATTGCTCAAGCGAAACGGAATACCAAATTGGACAATTAAAAGTACATCTCATGCAATGCCTTTGGTCAATATATGAATATAAAAGATATATGAATATATGAATATATAAAAGAATTCTATGTAACACAAATTTATGCTGAAAACATATACGAAATAAGATTTTTTGTTTCTTTCTAATCAACTTATGTATAACATTGTCTTCTACTGAAATGTACAAATACTGTAATTTTTAATACAATCAATTTTAATCTGTAAAACAGTATATCGTTTATTTTGTTCTTTTCTTATTTAAAAAAATATAAAAAATTCACGATACAATTATTAATTTCATTTATTATGTTATATCGTTTTAATATTGTGTAAATACACAAACATTTAAAAAATTATATTATAAAGATGTATTTAGATAATGTAATACATATTACATGTATACGCATATCAAATTGCACTATCAATACTTTTAGGAATTTTTGAGTTTTGATATTTGTATGTTTATTCATTTTTTTTACAAATTATTTCAAATGTACAATTATTCCAAAACACATAATGGGTTGTCTGTTACAATAAGACTTTTTTCCCAAAGATCCTTAGCTATCTGTACCTGTCAAATACAAATAAATGTTAAATTATCTTTTCAATAGATATAATGAAAAACATCGTACACTTGAGCTTTTCATATCCGAATATTCATTATCAAATGTTCTGTTACTAATTTAATTAAACTATAAAGTCTAAGTTTAACTAAGGCACGAAAGGTCTACCTATTATAATATTAACTTTTTACCTTATTATCTTCACCATCAATTGGCAAATCTTCTACGCGTATAAATTCAGGATATCGCAATATCATATCTTGAATAGCAGGTATAAACTCTTCACCAACTTCTAAAAATTGTGGTTCATACTCGTGATATTCCTTGGAATTTTCAGTTGAATAATATATCCTAAATGTCTCATTTTCTTTAATTAACCTACGCGACGAATAACATTTTTAAATAACGTTTTCGTTTCGATATAAATTTTGAAATAAATTTATAAATAATTAGTATTACAATTCTTGCTAGACCATACCTTATACAATGAGATCTTAATAATCGAATTCTTGTATCAGGTTCTATCTCTACTCTGTTTTCAACAATTCCATTTTCAATCATCTGTTCACCATCTTGAACAACAGAACATCTCTGTTCATTTTCAGAAAGAACAGGTGGTAAAAAGTCATGAATGTGATTTTTTGCCATTAAATCTGCTGCTTTGTCTATATCAATGTATTCTATTAATTTACTGAATAAATATTTTATATTTTCTTTAAATTCATCTTTGGTACTGTTCTGAATTTCAGAATAGGCAAATCCACATTGTCTCCAATAATTAATAGGCAATCCCTTTCGAAATTCACTATCTGTTTCTATAGCAGCTGTTAATGCATTTGGAAGCAACTTTTCCAAAAAGTCACCCCAACTATTTTTTTGGTAAACACTTAGTGTAATGTGAAGACTATGTGTATCATCAATAGTTTCACCCTGATGAATCGTTCCTCGTGGAAAATATAACAAATCTCCTGCATTTACAACCGTATCTAATATAGGTTCACCAATCTCGGATTGTGAAAAGTTTTTTGAAGAATATCTTGCTAAGTATTCGTTTTCGTTTCGTGGTTTATACAATCTCCATCTCTTTTTACCTTCAATTTGTAATATAAAGGCTTCAATATCATCATAATGTGGTGCAAAGCCCTGACTATTAGGAGGTGTTAAATAGGAATTTGCACCAACAAAGCAGCCAAAAAATTCCTGAAGTGTAGCTGGAAAGTATCGATAAATTACGTTATGTTTGGTAATGATATACAGAAATTAAATAGAAATTATATTTTCTAGAGTAGAAAACTATACTAAATAGAAACTAAATTTTCCACTAGAAAGTTATGTTCTTATTTGAAAAAATTGTTGAGTGATGAATATTCCTTTTCAAGAGAATACCGTTTAATGAATGTAATTTTGGTATATATGTTTGTGGATTCAACATTCTAACAGAACATCCATTCATATAATAATCCCAAACGACACTTGGAACTGCACGGCCAGCAGGATTATGCGTTTCCCTTACGCCATTTTCATACGAGGTAATATCAATATTTTTTGTAAATAAAATATGAGATTCCCTCAATATGGAATCTAACATTGGAGTAGACATAAGTAATTTGTAATATTTGGGAAAATTTCTCTTAATATGAACAGGTGTCTTCTCCCAATTCTTTCTGGAGCAAGAAATCATTCACAAATTCATTAAATTAATTATTATTGATTACAAATAAAATGTAACTATTCTAAACTTACTCAAAAAAGTCTTCTACTTTCATAGGATGTATTAACCATTCAAATACTGAGCGACTTGTTGTTAACGGATTCTTATGATTTTCTTCAGTTATGTTACAATTAGTATTAGCAGTCTCTTGAGTATCCTGTCTTGTTAATCTTCTGTTTTTAATTCGTTTTTGTTGCTTTTGTTTAATGCATTTCATTTTTGCAATACCTGTAGTTGTCATTAAGACAGAACTTCTTAATTTTTTTTTTGATTCAATTTTCTTTGAACAAGAAATTTGTATTTCTTTATCTTCTTCTTTCTGTATTGGCTTTTGAATTGATTTACTTTTCTTAGAAGTTCTAGATGAAATTTTGTTTACATTTTGAATTTCATTTATCTTCAGAGCTTTCTTTGTTTCTTGAGTCTTTTTATGCACAGATGTCTGTTTTTCCTTTTCCTGCACTTTCAATTTTGCGTCATTCTTTAAAACTATTCTTTTATCTGAGGAACTGTGTTTTCTCTTTAATTTTTTTGAATTTGACGATAATTCTGCATTTTTGCGCTTCATAGCATACATTGCAAATGCAGATATTGGTTCACGGTACTTAAGCATCTGTAAAAATGTAATAATAAAATGATATTTGTGAATAACAATTTAATTAGTATAATACTTTATAATAGTATATTTTATATCATTCAATATTTTCCTTAACCTATATTTTTTTTTTTTTAACTCATGTCAATACAAAACTGTTGTATTATATGTTTAAATATAATAATAAAAATATACAAATATAACAATAAATAACTACAACATATATTTAATTTACATATTGTAGATAATGAAATAATTTATAGTATAATGATAATTTATAAGTTATAAATAGATAATGTAACCGGTGAATAATAGGTTATGTTGTAATGTTTCATTAACATGTTCATAGAATGTTTGAAATTTTGTAATATTACCGTGAAACATATGTATATCGATAAACTTTGTAATGATGATTTGATTAAATTCAATAATTGGTTAATACTATTGCTATCATTAAAAAAACTCTTAAATTGAATTTATCACTGTCACAACACGTGGTTACGACTGTACGTCATATTGAAATAAAACAATAAAAGTTGACATTAATTTAAACATCTATTTGAAAGCGATATTCAATTCACAATTTTTTTCAAAATTTCATTATTTAACAAATTCTTCATTTCATCATCTAAATTAAAATTCAGATTAATATTCTTGTGTTAACTAATAGAAAAGTTTCTTCATAGAAAAGTAGTGATATTTAAATAATAAATACGTATTGAATGATAAAATATATTATTGCTTTATTGTCGCTTATTATTATTTAAATTTATAGTTTAATAAAAGAAGTCATAATACATCATAATTCATTATTAAATTGTGCTCTTTTAGCAGCGAATTCAAAATACCGATCCTTAAGTTCAAATAGTGATACCACCATTGACTAAAGGATAGGATAGATTGGACATGAAATGGAACTTCGTGTCTCAAGGTCTACAATACCGATCAGCAAAAAAAAATTACGTCGGTATAGTAGAACTCTAATTTCAGACATTATGAGAAAAAACCCTTTTGTAAAAATGTTTTATATTATTGTAACACTGATGTTGAGATCTGAACTTGACAAACATCAAGCTCGTCTCTCAAGGATAGACCCAACCGATCTATCCAAACGAAAATGAACACACTTTAGGAATTCATGTGTGTTTTTTTTGCAACTTAGCTGCAATTATAGCAATACTCTAAAACATATCCATATTACAATTTTTGAAGCAAAGTTGTGATTTTTTAACTCCATAATTTGCAACTCCATAATACATATTGTAATAAATCATATTATAAAGCGAGAAAATAACGCCACACAGCGTTGAAATGTAACATTATATAAATGTAATAAACACCTATGACTTTGAAGTTATTTTTGTGATATTATACAAGATTATATACAAGATTTAAAAGAAAAACTAGCTGAAGTGTTTTTAAAATTATCAAATAAGAAAATTAAAGACAGAAGACAAAATTAAATAGTATTATATGTCTAATATTTCTGCATTAATGCAGTTGTAAATGAGAAATTATTTTACCACTTTTTGCGGAGGATTATTTATAAAATATAATATTATACAGTAAATATTTTACTCTTTTTTGAACTGACAAAATTTCCTAGTTTTTTATACTGTCAGTATTAGTATAAAAATCGTTTCTAACGTCTAGAATTAAATGAAATCTTTAAGTAGTTTAATTTCCACATGATACATTATTTCTGAGATTTTTACAACATTGAGAATTTTCACAAAAAATTGTGTTTTAAAAAAATTGTAGATATTGTAAATATAAAAAAAAAAGTTTATTTGCTGCACAATGTAACATTTTAGGTACAAGTAACGTCGTCAAATTGTTATTGTATTATTTTATTATTTTATTCCACTATTAAATTATTTTTTTTATTATTCCACGATGAATATGTTTTACACAGCTAACATCCAAAGTGGATTAAAAATTCTGTATTTCTTACATTCTTTTTTATTTTAACTGCCTTATGAAAATTAAAAATCGATAGAAAATGAAAAAAATGTAATCTCAAAGATATATCGGACATTTTATAAGTTGGAATGATATACATATATATTATTTAAATTTACAACTTTTCCATTAATGTTAAAGTATTATGTCTTTTGAAAACTATGGTAATATTATTTACAAAAGAGCGGGAAAGCTTACTACGCAGAATGTATTAACCAATTATTGAAAAATATTGAAATACGAAAATCCGATATCAAAGTACCGCTGAAATTACAAAAAGTGTACCAACATGTATTTTAATGATCTTTCGCGTCGGTTTTTTCGATTGTATATTTAAATTTCTTTCGTCGCAGAACTTTATTGTTGTATTTTCATTGCTTCTTATATTTTATTTATTACATATATGTGTCCTTATTTGACAAATTTTTAGTTTCTTCGCATAATTGTTCGTAGTAATTAATAAAATAGAACAACACAAAGATGTAATCATTAATTTACACTAAATATGTACCTTTACTTGTATATTGACATTATACATGATTTTAGAATCATAGGCTTTTCGTTTTTATTGTAAATCGTCTATGTACATATACATTATATCCAATAATCGAAATATAAAGCGATGAAATGAGGTAAAAGTGTATCTTTTATATAAACGATATATGTATTATATATGTATATCCGTAAGAAGAAAGGAAACGTACTGTGAATGTACTAGAAAATCGAATAATTGTCTCTCGGTCAATGTACAATATTTAATTTTTTAATATCGAACGACGATTAATTATTATTAAATCAATGCAGAAGCTAAATATTATAGATATGTCAAGAATGAAGTTTAATCGTTCATGACATGTGTTGTATCGCCGAAGTTATTGATATTGAAAATTATTTCTGTTAAACATTTATAAATATACTCTATACTATATATAATATATATATATATATGTACGTGTATATAGATATAGATGTCGACAGATTTGTATCTTACGATTAATAAATAACATTCTTTCCCGGCATTTTGATAAAACTTTTTAACAGATAAATTTAAGTACATACTTTCAGTGTGCAACCGATGGTAAACTAGCAACACGCCTCTTAACAAATACATGTATCTAATCACCTAAATGTAAGCGCTTTATTGTTGTCAGTCGCATTTCGACATATTTTCACGATGAGCTTTTCATATTCCGAAGCGCATTTATCTTTAAGGTGACCATCCCCCATCGCATAGTACGATCCGTGGCCTTTATTATTTTATTTTGATTTTATTTGAATCGAAGATATTTATTCTTTATTTTCTTTTTTTTACGAACTTTAAATCCCAAAGGTCAGTTTACTTTATCACAAATCTTTCACGTATAAAACAACGACTCGATCGAAATGAAGAGCAGACGAAACACAGATCTGACGACCATGTTCAGTGAATCACCTCCAAATATAAAACGACAAAAAAGAAAAAAAAAAAGATAAGAAAGTTCAAGCGCAGAGAATGAATTTCAAATTGTTTTATTAGTGCTAGAATCCATGTCATAATACAGCTATTTCATATTGTACGTATCTGAACCCTCTACAATCCCGTGTAACTTTCGTAGATTCCGCGTGATTGGTGTTTTTTTTCCTTCTCCTTCTTCTTTTTTTTTTTTTTTTTTTTTTTTTAAAAA